ACTCAGAATAAATTACTAAACCAATAAAACCATGTGCGAGGAGCCTATTTGATCGAGGCCATATATAGCTTTACGAAGACGACACAAATGATGGGAAACTAATGATGAACAAAATCAGGTGATTGACGCATGTAGAGCTCTTCAGTGAGGTGATCGTGAAGTAAAGCATTTTTAACATCTAGTTGACAAATAGACCAATCAAAAGAACCCGTAACAATAGAACAAGACGTACCATAGTTTTGATAGTAGGCTTAACCACATGGTTGAAATTTTTGGAAAAATTATTGCTTGTTTGCTGATTAAAACCTTGAGCTACAAAATGTGCTTTAAATCGATCAACAGAACCATCAGAAAGATACTTAGTCTTATAAAGTCATTTACACACAACCACATTCTTACCGGCATCAAAGGTAACAAAACTCATGTATAATTAAAGATAAGAGCATTAAATTTCCTAGTCATTACAGCTCGTCCTTTAAAACCTCTATATGTTACACAAAAACATGTGTGACTTTTAAATTTTCAAAACTCTTAAAAATTGTCTTGCCAAATATTCAACTAGAAGCTCTTAGATACTTTTTAAATATTACGAAAGTTAGAAGGTCGGGACTTTTGTCGCCAAACATGCACTTAATCACTTTTGAAATATGTGACTCTAATCACAAAGAGTCATATATGTGGAGAGATTAAAGTTTGAACCTTTATTGATTTATACTAGTTCTCATTGCACCTAGTTTGATATGAACTGAGTTGAATATTTTTATTATACTCCCTCATTTAATTTATGTACTTGTCTACTACTCTAGTCCAGGGTTGTATACGAATCAAATAATTTATGCTCGACTTGGGATTCTAATTCGTATAAAATGATTCAAATTCGAAATATTCAAGTACAAATACAAATAAAAATACTAAATTTGGTTCAAATTATTATCAAATACAAATACGATTATCAGTATATTCGGTTTGAATGTTAATCAAATATATTCGATTAATAGTATTGATAATATTAATAATAATAGTAATAGTAACAATAGTAGTAATAACACTATAATAACTTTTAAAGGCTAGCTATACCTTCAAAGTGTAGCCATACATATACATTTACATATACATATTTCAGGCCAATTTGTAATAATGCAAAAGTATCATGAGGATTATAAACGAAACAAATAATTTTAATTTGATTCGTGATTTCAATTCATAAAGCAAAATGAATGTTACAAATATTTACTTTAGTATATTGTGCACAACCTAAAAATGCATGGATTCATTAAATTGTAAAGCAAAATGTAATGTTACAATTAAATTCTAAAAAAACAATTAAGTCATAGCATGCATTCATAACATAAAAAAATTGAAAAGTTGTTTTAAAGTGATATTTGACTAATATTCAACTTATGATCAAATCGATTCGATATTCGTATATTATTCGTTAACTATTCGTATTGTGAAACAAATACAAATACAAGTCGGAAAAAATATTCGTTTAGTATTTGAATTCGAATTCGTATTCGGAAGAATTAAACAAATACAAATACAAAATCACATTATTCGACTCAATTCGATTTGTTTACAACCCTACTCTAGTCTATCTAAATATAGCGAGTGTTTTTTGATATGATGATTATTTAAAGTGAAAGCGTGAAATGATCAAAATTATTGGGTAATTTGTCCTACATAGGAGTAAATGAAGTTTAGAATTCCAAAATAGAACTACTATATTTTTCCTTATCGAAATAGGAGTTGTTACTGCTATAATTGAAAAAAAACTGTCATTGATTCTAATAAATATTGTCATGTTAAATGCACTATACTGCAATTATTCGACAGTCACGCCTATAAGATGTACTGTCATGTTAGTCCTATTTCGGGAATAAAAACATAGTAATCCTGTTTTTTTTTGGGAATTCCAAACTTTCACTTACTCCTATTTTGAGAAATCTCTCGATTATTGAGGTTTGGAGGGTGTTTGGAGGACAAAAAAAGGGCTGAAAAGCCTGAAAATGCAAAAAAGTAGTCAAACACTAGCCAAATGGGCTGTTTGGGCTGTTTTTTCTGATCAGCCAAGAAAGTAACGTAAGTATTACTTTTTGAGCTAGAATTTATTAATGTATTGTTGCACATCCATAAGTACTCCTTTACCCTTTTTCTTTACGCTAATACATAGCTACGCCTAATACATCACCGGCCATTGTTCGACTGCACTGTCTATTTGGAATTCATCTTTTCATTCATCCTTATCCAATGGTTTCATCAAAGAGCAAGTTTTCATCACTAATTCTATTTTGTAATTGTCTTGAATCTACGGTTGAATGCAGAATTCCTTATGAAATTATTTATGTCATCTTAGTAAATAGATTGATATACATAAGAAATGCAAGTATATATCAAGTCTTCATTCTTCTCGATTGATTTGAGATCTGGTAAAGCTAGAAGATTGGAAAATTAATATTGATAAAAATTGTTAAATTCGGGAGATTAACATGAAACGAAATTGACTATTTCTGCAAATAACATCCTATTATGTATTTTCTTTGTTTAATGTATTCTCAGACACATAATGAACTCTAATTAATACTTATGTGTATTGTATGTTTAATTTTATTCCAATTTAAGTGCATGTTCATTTGTTAATATACTTTAGAAAAAGTGCATTTATTTAATTAATTTACTCAAATTAGTCACAAAATATAATACTAATGTCGCTCATACGAAAATACATTTTTTTCGGAAAGTAGTTGTTTAAAACCATATAAAATTCAATGTAAGAGTAAGAATGAAATTTCCACACTAATCAATTATTTAAGTTGTCTTATAATTGCCTAATCAAGCAAAACTAGTTTATTAGTAAAATTCACACCCATATATTTAACACAAATATAAGCTAATACCCTTTATAGTAATTTTTACACTCAATCAGCTATTCCAGCCAACATATTACCAAACACTTTCACTTCATCAAATTTGATGAGCTGATGTTATCTACTGCATAACTAATTTGATTTGGGAAATCCTCCTTCCGAAGTAGGCATGGCAATGGGTCGGGGCGGGTATTGCAAGACCCGGACCCGCCCCGTGGCTTGGCGGGGCGGGTTTGCCCCGCCCCGTGACCTGCACGGGTCCAAACTTGTTGACCCATGACCCGCCCCATGCGGGGCGGGGCGGGTCCGCCCCGCCCCGCCGCAACCTAATTAGCTAGTATGTATTTTTATTTGTGGGAAGTTGTTACCAATTGAATCTACATAATGTCTATCTCTAAATAATAATTAAGAGATAATGTGCACGGTGCACACGTGGCTTGAGAGATAGCCACATAAATATTAGTAAATAAATTCTTTCTCTCCTTATTTTAATGATTTTATACAGATTTAATAAGTTTTTCTACACAATGTCAAGGAGACCGTCTAAATGTTGACATTGCAGGGAAAAACTTACCAAAATTGTATAAAATCATTCAAATAAGGAGAGAGATAATTTATTTGCTAATATTTATGTGGCTATCACTCATACCACATGTGCACTCTACACATTTTAGCATTGGAGATGCTCTAAGCATAATCCGCTCGAAAGTTAGAGCTGGTTACGTTTTCACTTCGTTTTCAGTAACAATGCTTCAATGAAATGCTGTAATTCCAAAGCGAAAAGATTGTAGGATTTCTCATATGTGTCACAGGTGAGGCCGGAATGGTAGATCTTGGTTGGAGCTCCATCAATGGCAGCTACTTTTAATTTCCAAATATTATTACATGCACCTTTCAACATCAACATACCGTGAAAAGGTACTATTCAGGGGAGGGGGGCTGTACACATTTACACCTACCGGCTACCGGACATGAGTTCCTTCCTTTAAAAGATGTACTCTCTATTATGACTATCCTGTCACGTCAAATCTCTCTATGGTACACGGAGTATCTATACGAAGTATACATATATAGAGCATATACTATTTTGAGAGATTGAAGGTGTCACAAAGGTAAGTATAGAATTCAAATCCTACAATTACGATCAGATGTTACTATCTAAAAATGCATAGGTCAGAGATCCTCAAGAATGAAAACTTGGAATGCCATCATCATCAAGATATTAATGGAAGATTAAATTGATAATAAGACATACTCCCTCCGTCTCAAATTGTTTTGCAAAGTCAACATTTTTTGGTCAACTAATAATTAAAGTCAATGCTCTATATCGATAATTAATTTAATTTTTAATAATTAAAATTTATATATTCAGAAACTACATTAAAATCTCTTCAAAGTTGTAAACCTCAAATTAGAATATAATTAAAAATTGACATCCTAATTAAGCGAATAAAATGAAACTGTTTGACCAAGAAAAGTCAAATTTGCAAATCAATTTGGGACGGAGGTAGTATTATTATTGAAATATGAATCTAGATATTATTTCAAGATTGTTATGAAATTAGAGATAATTAATTAGTGTCGGACTTACAAAAGATGTGATTATTTTGAGATTATGAAGATGTAATTTAGAAAGTGTGAGATTATTTTGAAAATCTCTATGTCATAAAAAATCTGTTTATTTAGTGAGTTAGCTAATAACTAATAAATTGGATTCGAACATGTAGTAGTTTAAAGAACAAAATGGGGTTAGTTAGCTAGTATATAGTGTCTCACCCTGTTAAGATTATCTCGTCTTTTCCTTTAGATTCGTCCTCAATTACCTCCTACCAAATTTGATAATATAACTCTCCAAACAAAATGGGGTATTAACATTTATTTTTGGATAACGCAACAGGAAAAGTAAAACGTACGGAGTATAAAATAAGACCGATGTAACAATACACAAGCAGGACAGAAAACACATGCAAAACCGCAAAGTATGTTGAGAGGCACTTCGTGTCAGTTTTTAGTTTCTTTTAAAGAAATTTTAAGTTTTTGTTCTTGGTCCAAGTCAAACATGACAAAGTATTAGGAGAGGAAGGAAGATGTAAGCTAGAAACTTCATTTGTAAAATAATCATGGAATTTGTTGTACCTTTTTGTAGCAAATCATGGAATTTGTTCACAAGAAGTAGTTGCATTTCATGCATGCAATCGTGCATGTCATAGTTTTGTACCAGATGAGCTAAAACCCAAAATTATAGGTGCACTTGCCAACATATATGCATGTGTCATAACAGATGGAGGTCATACATGCATATCTCCCTCAGGCTCAGGGATATAACTGGTATGGAGGAAAATGCAGGAAATACATATCACGCTTTGAGTTTCAGGTCCAATCCTGCCAGGTGCCAAATGATCCCTTGTAAAAATAAAAAATAAATGTACAGGCGAAGGTTGAGCAGTTGGCTGCTTTCAGCCTTCCACCATCCTACAATATTGTGTTAGTCTTAAATGTTCAAAACAATGTATACACTGCGGTAAAAGTGCAAGATCGGTCGAGCTCGCGTTCTGCATAACCCGGCCTCAGTTGTAGCCAATGTTTAAGCCGGGGGACCATTGGCATTCGTTGGTGTGTTGAACATCGCGTTAGGTTGAGATGAATGTGAACCCAAGCTCAAACGGTTTAAAAACTGCAACAACATAAAATGTAGAGAAACGTTGTTTAGATTTTGGGTTCCATTTTAGATCATTCATCTTTGTGTATTCATTAGAATTCGTTCCAAATCGGAGTAAAACAAAGACATTTTATTCCAAAAATAGAAGTTATTTGGTTCTACTAAAAGTTTAAAACTTTCCTAATTAGGAGAGAATGAACTCTATTATAATCCCATTTACGATATTTTTCTCTGTATTAATCTATATACATAGTATTTGATATTAGGTCGTTATGGGATCACTAAACAAGTACATGTATTTCTGTAATGTAGAAAGTCGAAAGAATTAAGCAAAAAAAACCTGGGAAGGATTTTGCATAGGGTGGAAGCCCATAAAACCGGCAAACTGCTCGGGAAAATTTGGGGGTTTCATCTGATTCTGAAAGTTGATCATGGGATTCATCATTGCCGCAGCTTGGCTGGGTGTGGAAGCCATAGAAGGTGCAGCAGCACCAGCAGCAGAATGATTAACCATAGGAGGCCTTGGTAAATGCATTCCCATAGAAGGCATTGTTGGTGGAACCATTCCCATCCCCATTCTTGACATATAGGGTTGCACTCCTGAGAACATCATAGATGCCATTCCACTCCCCATCCACATCATCTGTAATTTTTTGACATCATGGAAATATGTAACATGAAGGAGTAAACTTTTGAAATTGGATAGCATTTTTTATTTCTGATTCTATACTAAAAGATCAACTTAATGGAGTAGTAATCAAAATTCAAACCTGAAGTTGCATTTGTAGTGACTTCAAATATTCAATTGCCTCATCTAGCATAGATGCTTTATCTGTCTGAAACAATAGAGGGCACAAGACTTGTGTCATAAGTTACATCAAAATTTATCTAAAAAGATTCAACAAAGTTGAAAATGATCACAAAGAACGAGGGAGAAATACCTTGGTGGAGTGAGGGAGAAGCTCCTGCAAGGCCTTCATCTTCTCATTGATTCTATCTCTTCGCCTCTGTACAAAAACAGAAACAGTGGTTCATGCCAAGCAGTATAAGGGTGTGCTTGGATGAAATGAAACAAAAGTTTGGGGGCTTTATTACATTTTTTTATCTATATGCAACTAAAACTTGTATACATTTTTTAAAAATGACTCATAAACTTAAACATGACTTTATATGAATCATAACCTCGGTTTAGTTATAGTCCTAAATCCTACTACCTCCATCTCATTTATATTGTCTCTTTACGGTTTACGATGTTTGAAAAACATTCTAAACTATCAAGATACTTATTAAGCCCCTTGTAAAATTTCATTCCAAAAACCACTCAAATCCTCCATCACGACCCTAATAAGGGTCTGTTTGGATGGAGCGTTTTGGAGGGATGGTTTAGTCCATATCTTAATAAATAAAATATTTCTTGGCACAAAAAGAAATAAAATATTTCATTTTAATGAATAAAGATCGATATATTCTAAGTATTATTGTTTATCACCAATTATCTTTTATATTGGTATAACTTAGGCCAAATCAAGAGTAAAAATAATGTACAACTCTATGTGTTTCTCGAAACAAAAGTAAATTCATTTTGGAATCATACCATCATATTCTCACATTAAAGAGCATTATTAATATCAATTTCTTAATCATGCAAGTAATTACTATTCAGTACTCTTTGGGGGGGAATGTACTCCATATTACAATATTGTTTCCGAATTTGAAATTTTTGGTACTTCTAATAAACTAATTTCTTAAGAAAAAACAACTACCAATTCAAAACTAGACCTAAAAAAAGAGTTGAAGTGGATGACCGAATCGTACCCTTTCAGAGAGGTTGTGCACCTCAGCAGAACGGCTCCGGCGAGTGGTTCCAGACTTTTGGGATGACTTGTTTCTATCACCCAATTCAAAGTCATCCGCCTACGCACACAATAATAATAATAATAAACTAATTCAATTGTGACTGCAAGCAAACACACTATTTAATCCAAACGACAATCAATTCATTAACCTAAGATCGGATTAAAATAATTTTGATGTAATTAATTAAGGTAGTGTCAATATACTCCCTCCGTCCCCTTTTAAATGTCATGTTTTACCATATTGGGATGTCCCTATTTAATTGTCCCATACCTTATTTGGTAAAGTTTGTGTGGCTCAAAATCATTCTTACTTTATTCTTACTTTATTCTTACTTTATCAATTAATATCAACCACACAAACCCACTTTTCTTAAAACTCGTGTCACCCCTTGCGTCCCAATAAAAAGAGGACGGAGGTAGTAGGTAATAAAAAGAATATACGTAGTATAATCAATCAGGAGGGAGTATTATTACATTATTATACGGATTAATTCGTACCTCATCATGTTGGCATTCGGACTCTTCTGGATCCCGAGCTTTTCTTTTACGAATGTTTACACTGCCGCCGCCGCCGCCTTTGGTTGTAACAAAGGTGCTGCTGCCCGACCTCCCCGAAGAAGATGACGTGGCAGCCGTTTCTTCCTCTCCCAGCAGCTCCGTTTCAGGACTCACTCGTTTCTCATCATCTTCGGTCACTGCTGCGGACAAACACCGCCTATCTCCGCCGCCGCCGTTCCCTCCCCCGCCGCCGCGTGAGTTCCTGTTAAAAGTCGGATCAATGGCGACCTGATTGCTCCCGCAGTGGCTTGACCCCACTGTCATCACCGAACATTCTCTCCCATGGGGATCTTCCCCCCGCGGCCTATTCCGCAAGTTGTTCAAGATCTGAGCTCCGGGCGGCGGCATAGCCGGAGCATGACTATTATTATGGTTGGGGGGTTGTGATAAACCGAATATGTCCAGAGCTGCTACTGGATGAGCGGATGGGATTTCGGGTAAAAAGGGTCCACACAATTCTCTCTCGAAAGAATCATAAACGACCGGGTAGTTCAGCCAGGAAGCTGCGTCCTCGTTCTGAATCAAACCGCCGCCGGTCGGGTTCCCCAGAACACTCCCGGCAGCAATGGAAGTGGGCGGGTCGTGTTTGACCGGTTGACTCGCCTCGTTCGGATCCGCCGCAGGTTTTTTGAGTGTTTGGCTGTGCATCACAACCTGCCCGTTCCTCCATAGCAGCTCCACCAGGTTATGGTCTAATCTGTATTGAATTAGTCATCATATATACAGGCCAAGATTAGATTAATTATGCATACCATATGTAGTATAAAAAATACAAACCAACACATAAAGAATTGATTAAAGGAAGGAGGTGAGATTGAAGAGTTACTAGCTGGACTAACCCCACAGGTGACTTCTTCTGGTTTCCAAGAGGGATTTCATCATCAATAAACCATTCAGGAATACCGGGATGATTCATGGCTGCAAATGGTCCATTTTCAAGAAAAACTTCATATTTGCAGCAGAGTAAATTGTGAAGGAAGGATAAAATGGAAGGCCAGATATAGAAGAGGTTAAGGAAAGAGAGAAAGAGAGGGCACAGATAGATGCCCGCTGTTTGAGTGTGAATATACCTGACCAAGAAATTAACAGCTAGCAATTGAATTCCACGAGGAAAATTTATGTCTTGCTTTTTTTCCTGTAAATGGAAAGGGGAGGGAGAAGAAGAGACTGGCAATAATGTGCTAAACTGTACGTCATAAATAAAAATAGATATAGTAATCATGCAACTACCACGTACATAGGCTGTTGCCACTCATTCAACAAGCTAAGATAGAATAAATGAATGAATAATGGTTGGGTCATCTCTCCCTCTGGGTGTAGACTAGACTGGACTAGAAGCGGTGCAAGGAGGAAAAGAGACAGCAGTGTGGGGTAGGACCGAAGCACTTTCCAGTTGCAGTGGTTACGACTATGATGGGGAGAGAGAACTTTCGCCATTATCATGACATGACACGTGGCGTACCACTGCTGATACTCGCTGTCTGTTACTGGGCCCTTCCAGCAAGCCTCTTTCATTTCATTTCTCAGTAAAAAGATCTCCGAGTTCCAGCCTTGTTGCCACGTCTGCGGTAAACACATATCCCGCGCTACTTTCTCATCGTCTTCTCTTGTGTACCTGTGGGGTGGGATCCGGATGATCCCGATCCAGATTGCCCAAATCCCGATTCAAATTACAAGAGAATCTCGTACATTGTCCCGATTAAGTCGGGATTCCGACATTAAAATCTCGATTAAGTCGGGATCCCGATCGAGAATCCCGCCAAATCCCGACAATGAAGTATCAAACATAAAATTCATCGAGATCGGGATTATCGAGATCGGGATTGTCGGTATCGGGATGTATTTGTGTGTGCATGGGCCAAATTCCTCCGTATATTGTTGAGTTTAGAAGATTTTGTATTTTATTCCTTATTTATTTACGAACTATAAATTCATTGTGACCGTCGGATGCGTGGATCTATAGAATATAGATACAATGACATTTTGATAATTAAACCAAATTTTTTCTAATTGCGATACTTTGAATATCAATATACAATTGCTTATTGAATTGCAAAACAGTAACAATTGCTTATTGAATTGCAAAACAGTATGCAACACTTTAAACGGCAAGATGCAATAAAAATAGCTTACTGTTGCAGTAGGCTTAAATTTTGATTTAAAATTGTTTCATGATGCACTAAATTTGAGGATGTTGCACCAAAATAGTTTCATGTTACACTAGACAAATGTCATTTCGACTTTTCAAAAGTATTTGTGAAAATGTCATCATGATAGGTTGCATATTTATGTGAACCTTATTCAAAAACATTTATTTTTTTGATAGAAAAAGATAGTACAAGTAGCAGAACACGTGGTCGGGGTTACTAGGGATAGTGTACATGAATATATATTAATACTATATGTTCATGCAATTTTACTAAATACTATGATTATACGATAAATACTATATGTTCATGCCATTTACACCAAAGATAGATGCATTAAGGATGCTTGTGACAAATATTACATAGTACTCCATTTTCAATGAGAAACGTTCCTCATACTTTGCGACCCATTACTGGTTCAAGACCGGTTGGCCAATTTCGAACTCTATGTGCTCTATCAATCAATTCCCGGTCAGATTCTAGAACTTGAAGAATGCCTACTTATTAAGAGCCAAAGACAAAAAAAATTGCATAAATATTTGGGAGAGTTATAAGAGAAAATGACATATATAGATATCAATCAATAAGTTAATTAAAAGTAGACAACTATGCATAATTTATAATAATGACATGGAATTGAATGAAAGTTTGAATACACTTACTACTTTGGATTTTGTAGACAACAAATAACAATGCATAGTTTTATCAAAACACCCTGTTATTTTTTATGTTTATGTACTACGTATAATATACCGCTTAGTAATTCCCTTCAACATTATCATTACAATCGTGTAATCAAACAAAACAATGCCACCTTTCTTATTTTATGCAACAATAGTCATCAACATTCAATAGTGATTGTCTTGTACAACACAGTACAAGTACGGCCTTTCACGTTTCAAAATAAAAATTAATTAGACCACCAAAGTTTATTGATTATACAATTTAATTAGTTTGAATTCACACTAATCTTGTCTAGGCAAGTGGAGAAAATTTGGGCACCTACTAATCAATGAGGTTGGTCTCCCTTTGGACACACAATTTCGGGCCCCTTATATAGTGTAGGGTGGTCACCCATTCACCCGGTTTCAATTTCTATATTCCAGCAAACCAGTTATTACCGGATTTGGTAATATTAGTTTGATTTAAATTTATGTATGATAGATAATTGAGTATATTATTATTGTTATTATTATATCCTCATTCTTTCTTTTTTGCAAGACCCATAAATTATCTAGAATGATGATATAATAATAACAATTTACTCAATTATTGCTAAAAGACCAATTTTTTACCAATTACCACAATTTACAGCCGCATTATTCACAGCAGTCTATCCAGACGTCTCCTTCCTCGCACCTTCGTCACAGGTCAATTTTTTCATGTGTCAATTGAAGCAACATGCAAACACATAGACCGACACAAACATCGTGCATATATAGATAACACAATTAATGGGGAGTGTAAATCAGAACAAATCTAAATAAAGTAGATCACAACTTCAGTAGAGACCCCTCAGACCCTTATCAAACCAGATTAATTTAGACCTGCAATATGGTTAAAAATATTCATATCCAGTTGAAAACGTCCATGGAAAACTGTCATACCTCATTCCTCTTTCCAAAAAATAATTTGGTCCCAAATGTTGTCATATTTAATATTTTTGTGCATTGAAATATGAGATGCATTTAAATATTATTAATTGTTGTAGTAACACAAAACTATTTTGTAAGGAGATGTAATTACACTTTTACCCTTTCATATACTTCCGTTGTCCCATTTAAGCTTTCAAATTTGAATAGCACCCGTTTTATGGAAATGAAAGTCTCCTTTGGCTTCCTGAAATCCTCTTTTTTACCGAGTATAATTGTTGATGTAAAATGCACTGTTTTGCATTATGTTGTCATTACCCTTAAGAGTGGTCAAGTAAATTGATAGAAACTTATTTACCAAATAAGTAAAGGGAACTTTATTTAGGGACAATCATAAATGATCAAGGGACTAAGGGAGTATTTATTATATTCGTATTCGTATATGCTTTTTCATGAAAACAAAACGCAATAAATGCAAAGGAGTAGAGGTAACATGTCATACCTCGGCATTGAAATTGTATATGTTTCATAGACGACACACCAGCAAGCTGCTAATCAAACAATAATGCAACATTTTAAGGAATCTATAGTTCTAAACTCACTATCATAGACATACACAATAGCTGCTAATGGAGGAAACAATAACACAAGGTTGCAAGGAATCTATACACTCTATAGCCTTGTAGAGTTGTGCCTTATGTCCTGATCCCAATTCGCCAGGTAAAGTGACAGATACACTTCCAATAATTACCATAACATATGGTGCCATGAAAATACATTTTTGAAGGGGTTGCACCAAAAAATAAACAAAAAATAATCATTTGAAAATGACATCATTTAGTTGTAGTAGTAGAAATCTGAATGAGTGATCAGTGGTGAGAACTTTCTTATAGCTTTTCAACAGGAAACCCCATAACAGGCTTGATATGAGATGCCAAAGATCGAAGCTCCTCCACTTCTTCCTTAGTCAATCTCCAGCTTAGTGCGCCAGCAAATTCTTTAGCCTGCTCCGCATTTTTGGCACCCGGGATGGGGATCACATTATCCTGGCAAATTAACCAGTTCAGCACCACCTGTGACAAAAGGATATGAGTGACCGACCAACATGACAGCCACAAACAAGCATATATATTACTCCGTACTAAGTATATTCTTCCACCATTAAAAAAATGTGTTTGTTACTTCTCATTGTGCAATGGTATAAGTTATTGTTATCGGGGTTTAATAGAGCATTAGATGCAACAATATAAGTTATGGTGACAAGTGACGAGTTTTTGAATTTCCAAGTTTTCACAAGGATTGATACATTGTGAGGATAATTGCTATGATTGAAAGCCCGTTTAGTGAAACCGTTTTAAGATTTTTTTCTTCTAGGGGTTAGGGTGATGGTTCTCTCTTCTCTACGGCACCACCACCATGAGGGAGATTGGGTATAGAAGCCCTTGATTTTTCTCTAATTTCCTCTCACTTATTACCTTCGTCTCACAGCAACAAGTCCGGGAATATCAATGAAGGACACACACCCATTAGAAGCGTTTTGTGCATGACTGAAGATGCTAGGATGGGCGATAACTTAGAAGCCAAGGCAGTGAGATCTTTTATCAGACTGTCCCTAAGTTTACCACATTGAAGGATACTATGGCAGCTGTATGGCGGCCAAGTAAAGAAGTTTGTAGTATCACTTTAGGCTCTCGTCATTTCGTATGCCAATTTCTTTATGGAGTAAATGCAGCTAGGGTTATTCTTGACAACCCTTGGACTTCCAAGTTCCAAACAATGTTTTGTTGCCTTGCACAGTTGCACTGGACCAAGATGGCAGAAGTCCCACTTGAGATCCCATTGATTCATGCATGCTTTCGGGCTGAAGATCATGGTTAACTGTACCATTTCATGAAGGAAAAGATGATGCGCACGGCTCAGAATTTTTGGGTGTCTTTTAGTGGCTAATAAACACGGTTCTGAAACGTGCATGGTGGGCATACAAGGGGGCGCAGGTTTGACTGGATTGTCTGGATGTCAGTCACTCTCTGAAAGTCATATGTATTTGAAAATTCACTAGGAAGGTGGCTTGTGGTCGTGGGTGGACTTCAGGCACGAGACTGCCACCTCTGCTTTATCTGTGGGGTCATGACCTCATGGGACATCCTGATGTGTCCTGTCCAATAGCCCAACAGTGCTTGCTAACAGCCATTGGATTGGTGAGAATCCCTATAAAAGTTGGCTTAGGGCTGAACTAGGCGAGGGAGTCCTGTTAACTGCTCGCCTGCTAGCTGTACCAGCTTTTGGACCGATGGGGTGGAGAGCCCAGCGGGAGATGCCACGGTGATGGACAGTGTGGCAGAGAGTGGGGAAACTTATGTGTCATGTTCAATTTTGATCAAAGGGAAAGGTTTGGCAAAAGATGAGAAAACTTCAGAGGGGAGCGGAAGGGAAGTTTAGTTTGCTCAACCATAGGGGATTGCTTGTGTTTGGAAGCTAACATGGATAACCTAACACGGTTCGTGTTAGAAAAAGGAATAACGTCGGAGTTAGCTGGCTGCTAGCCAAAAAAGGGAAATAAGCAGGTGAAAGGGCAATAATGTTCAGAAGGCTGAATTGGGATGTGACCCGGTGGCGGAGGGTGTTGGCTACCCGTGGGGAGTACCAAAACAAATTTGTCTTGTAGTTCTTTATTTTCCATTCTTCTTCTTTAAAATATCTTTCCAGAAACATGTTAGCAGTTCTAATCTTGATTTTATATCCGCTTTGTGGTTAACAACCATCCTGGTTCTTCTTGGCAAGAGTGGCTCTATGCGACCTTAGAATGCTGTAAGGCTTGGTTCTTGTACTCGGCTTTTTCGCTTTCATCACTTTAAAATAAAGGAGTGTTTGCAAACACTTAAAAAACACTTTTCAGCTTTTGACTTGAAAAAGCAGAAAGTAGTGTTTTCAAAGACTTGCTTCTGCTTAAAAAGGCACTTTAAAGATAAAAGTTGGCCAGCTGGTATACACCAACTTCTAACTGCTTCTAGGTTTTATTGTAAATAACACAAACTCTAGGGATGATTATGATGCTAGCTATATTAATTCAATTCCAAAATACCCTCAAACGATTAAAACTCAAATGTGTACATCTCTCTTTGTAGCTTTCATCCCTTTCTGAATTTTGGCGACAAGATATATCATATATGGATGTGCAGTAGGCGACGGCGGCAACCGCTTCAATTTACCACCTGATAGAGAGCAGAGAGAGCAGGGGGGCTGTGTGGAAGAGA